AACAAATTAGGCTGTTTTGGTTAAACTTTTTTTTCTCTTAAATCATCATTGATATAAAGCTTGTTATATTAGACAAGGTCACAGTTTTAATATTATCATTCTTTTCAATCTGAAATTATTTAAAAGTAACAAAATAAAGCAAAAAAGTGTGCAACTGCTTTCTTTGTCCTGTAAACTATTCAATCGGTGCATGACATCTTTACTTAAGCAGCCAATCAAACCTCAATCTTAATTTATTCAGTGGGGGGAAAAAATGTCAAAGTTTTTTATGAAATTTTTTTAATGAAAGATTCAAATTAATGCTCTTTGGGGATTTTGCTACCTTAGACAAAATAATAAAAATAAAAAAGGCCCCATATAATTTCTCCGCCGACTTGATTTATTCAATTTTTGATTAAGCCTTTTTAGGAAACACAAATCACTGGACTTCAGACTCACTTTAAATACAATCAATGTGATTTCTAATTCCTTCTTCATTATATAGTGACTGTGAATTCCCCAAATGTTTCATTTCAGAGTGTTTGCAAATGAAAAAATGGTAAATCTGTAATTTTAAAGAATAACTCAATAAACAAATATTACTTTGTTTGTTCCTTAAGAGAGGGCACAGACTCTGAATATTAATTTTGAGACTCAGTTGAGAATCTGCACTTGAGTTTAGAGACAGGATTTAAAGATTTATCCCAATTCAAATACGCCAGCATTAGAAAGGCTCAACATCGACGATTAGCCTGCAAGAAGGCAGTGTTCCAAAACATCCCAAAGGCGTCAGATGGAGCATTAGTAAGGCCTCTGAACCTCACTCAACTTCATCTATAAGACTTTTGGTAGGTAAACTATTTTTTTAAGGACTGAAGGTTCAGTACTTATGTGTTTTAAGTTGAACCATAGAAGACAAGCAGAGAGGAAACCTTTAATACTGGCAAGTGCAAAGCGAAAATAAAGACATTTAGTTACACTACATATATCTCCAAAAGGAAGAAAGAGATGACTTAGAGATAAGCTTTAAAAGGCTGTAGCTTCAAGTCTTGACTGAAACTATTATGTTCACAGTGCTGTTTCAGTTTTTCAGCCTTTCTTATTTTAAAAGATATTGTTTAATTTAGCACAAAGACAGCATGCATCTGCTGTAAACATAAGTAAAACACTTTATAAAAGTTTATGCAGCTTTCTTTTCGGAACTATTGATACATTATTAATATGTCTGATAGGCTTATGGCAACTTTAAATGGACTTGTGCTGTTAGTAAAGAAAAGATTTGTGATTTTTCTCTCATTTTAACATCACATTTTGCTTTCAGAGCAAATCTCCTGTGTGCAAGCTCTAACAACTGCCAGTAACAATTCTGCATCCTTGAATCAAAAGAGAGTATTTTGAAAATCCTTGTTCCAATATTTTTCTGAACAAGTTTTCTCAGCTCTAGCATTTCTTTTCAGTTCGACTACCGGGGGCAATACAAGTTTGCAAACGGTGAATATAATAGTGAGGAATAACATCTCACGAAAGCATAAATATTTGGTGTCTTTTGGAGTAAAAATAATAGATATGGAGAGTACATCCAGGGCAGAGGTCAATGTCCCACTAAATAGCTTAGTTTCTCCTCATATTCTGTAGCTGTTGCTTAGATACTGTTGGATGGTAATAAACAGTCACCCGTGTAAACCTTACTTCAAGATTCCTATTAAGAATATGATAAATGTGAAAATATAGAGGCAGTGCTTTGCAAAAGCCATAATATTGAGTAAAAGCCATAATATACATTAAAACTGCCAGTTTTGATGCATTTTATTTGGAATGTATGTAATAGACCAATAGACCAACAAAAAGTAGAACATAAATGTCCCTTTGGATGTAGATTCAGATTCATTTGGTTCTTGATATTTTCCCAGCTTTGGCTTTGTATTACTGTGGGGTTTAACTCATGCTGAAGGTTTATTTCCTTCAAACTGGAAAAGGCAAAACCAAAAAAAAAATACTTTATTTTTTGAGCTGAAAAACAATTTTTTGTTGTGTGTAAGCGGACAATACTTATACATTTAAGTTGCATGTTATTTGAAGTGGTAAATGTTCCTCTAACTTGCAGGTTTTTGTAGTAAAAGGCAGGTAGATTGAGTTTGCTGCTAAGTGTTACTGTTCTGTACTGTTAAATTTTAACAATACCAATTGTTGCTAAAAAGATAATGCCAAAGGAATTTGGTACTCACATCAAAATGACAGCAAAGCAACTTACTTATTTCTTATCTAAGTTTACGATTGTGCAACTGATAGTTAAGGTTCCAGTATTCACACTTTGTAACTACACTGTAAAAAAAGTCAGTAAATTTACGGTAAAAAAAGGTAAAAAACCAACAGTTTTTGACCGTCGTATCCAAAAACATTGCATTACCGTAGAAATTACATGGAACTACCGTAAGTCGAAACTGCAAAGAAAGTCAGTAAATTTACGGTAAGAAATGGTAAAAGACCAACAGTTTTTGACCGTCGTACCCAAAAACGTTGCATTACCGTAGAATTACATGGAACTACCGTAAGTCGAAACTGCAAAGAAAGTCAGTAAATTTACGGTAAGAAATGGTAAAAGACCAACAGTTTTTGACCGTCGTATCCAAAAACATTGCATTACCGTAGAAATTACATGGAACTACCGTAAGTCGAAACTGCAAAGAAAGTCAGTAAATTTACGGTAAGAAATGGTAAAAGACCAACAGTTTTTGACCGTCGTATCCAAAAACATTGCATTACCGTAGAAATTACATGGAACTACCGTAAGTCGAAACTGCAAAGAAAGTCAGTAAATTTACGGTAAGAAATGGTAAAAGACCAACAGTTTTTGACCGTCGTATCCAAAAACATTGCATTACCGTAGAAATTACATGGAACTACCGTAAGTCGAAACTGCAAAGAAAGTCAGTAAATTTACGGTAAGAAATGGTAAAAGACCAACAGTTTTTGACCGTCGTATCCAAAAACATTGCATTACCGTAGAAATTACATGGAACTACCGTAAGTCGAAACTGCAAAGAAAGTCAGTAAATTTACGGTAAAAAATTGTAAAATGCCAGCAGTTACTGACCAGAATATTCACAGCATTATACTGCCGTAGAAAATACATGGCATTATCATAACTGAATAAATATATATCCTAAATAATTGTGACAGTCACGAATGTAGAAAATACAGAAATATAGTGTAAAAATATAAGTAATTGTAAAGTTCTTAAAAAATTGTAATATTGCCAGCAGTTAATTACCCTAAACTTAACAGTAGCAATCAGCCAAAATTACAAATTTTGCTGATGTTTAGATCTACAATGTAAAAGCGTAAACAAGACTGCAAAAGAATTTTTTACAAAGAACAGAATGCTGGTGTGATATTCTGGTTTCTTTTTTAATAATGCCTTTAATACACCAAACTGAAATCTCAGCAGTAGACCAGGCATCGATCTGGCGATCCACCGATTGCAAAGCAAACTCCTACAGCCAACGCCACCATCACTTATGAGAGTATTTGATCATTAACATTAAGAGAACTGTATGTTAGCCCCTCTTGCTTGAATGAAGCTGAAGTTGGTTTCCAATTGCTGCTTCCAATTTGGGAAATGGCTAAAGGGCAATTCCACCTAATTTTTCACTACAATCAGCATCTTTAATTTACTCTAGCTAAAAAACTACAACACCTAGACTCTTCAAATCTGGACTAGATTATTCTCAACTCATATCAGAATATTTAAAACCAAGTGTGGGGTTTGTAAAACCTTTATCTGATTTGTGAAACTTCAATAAAGAACAATTCTAGTGTTATCCAAAATCATACAAGTTGTAAAGTCACCCATCATTGAAGTTTCACAAATCCCACACTTGGTTTTAAATATTGTGCTATTAGTAGAGAATAGTCTAGAGCAGGGGTCCCCAAACTTTTTCCTGCGAGGGCCACATAGCTGTTCCTTTCTCTGCTTGGGGGCCGGTCTTAGTTTTTGGAGAAAGATACCTTAGAAACTTATTGTCAGCAGCAAGATTCTTTTAACTCTGTTCCTGTAGTGGTGTCCTGAACTCAACACAGTAAAGTCACTGTGCTAACTAAGGTTGCTAACTAGGGTGCTGAGAGCCCAGTAGGCCTGGTCCTTGTCAAGATGCTGCTACTGTCTTTGAAATCAAATTTCTGCTATTTTTGCACGTTCAGGAGGAGAAGGGCAACACATCACAGGTGAGTCCCTTTCACGGTTTTAACTGAAGTTAGCTAACTTTAACCAACTGACAAAGAAATGTGTAGTTTCTGAGCCATGCTGTTTATGTATATGCACTGCAGCTATATATTTTTACTATACGGAACATTTAATCTTCACAGATGCAACACTTCCATTAAAGTTTCTGTAGGAACGGCTGCTTAGATTATATTTCTGGTCTACTTTAGACTACATGTGCTTAAAGTTATTGTTAATGGCAGAAGCAACTTTTTCCAAGTTTGGTTCAATAATTAATTTGAATTACTTTGAGTGTGAAATGTTCATGCATGCAAGTTAAATCTCTGAAGAACATGTTAGCTTTTGTTTCAATACTTTGGTAATACTTAGAAGTATAAAGCTTGGCATCAGAGATATTATTTAATATTTTCCTTTGACGTCTTGACTCTCACCCCCAAAATACTTGCACTAAAGTCACTGGGTCCATGACAGTTGAAGGATTTTAAAATAAGAGAATTTAAATATTAATATTTTACAGCTTTTCTCAGTTTGGGTGCATCTCTCAGAACAGAATTGAAATTCCTAAAACTACCTGTTCAATCTTCAAATTACTGTGTCACTTCTGCACATCAAAAAATTAGTTTTGCAAGTTTTGCTTTTGTACATCATGTAGCTGGTTATGTACACTTCTATGCTTTTATAATTGTAATTTGCTTTTATCGTCTTGATCAAAATATGTTAACCCTCCTGTTGTCCTCGGGTCAAAATGACCCGCCACTGTGTTAACCCCCCCCCCAAAATCCCCTAAATGTAATTTTTAACTTGAGATTTTAAGACTTTTCCTAGATTGGCCCAGACAATAGAAAAAGTTCAGTGTTGCTTTTAGTCTCATTTCCATGTAAGCTGTACAAAAAAAGGTACAAAGATGGTCTTCAGGTCAAAATGACCCGTGAGGCAAATGGAGTTGAAATCAAGGTCACAGAGTTATTTACAAACCATAAAATGTTACAAAGTTTTAGTTGTGTCTCAGATCAATCAGTAGCAGAAGTAAGCAGAGAGTGGAAGGCCAATTTTCCGAGCCACAATGCCACTCAAACTCTTTCACACCTACTCAAGACTGATGCGATTTGATGACCGTGAATCAAGTCCAGCAAGATGTATGACAGACAAACTTGCAGCCATAAGAGAGGTATGGGACAAGTGGGTGGAGCAGTTACCCTACCTCTACAATCCAGAGCCTGATGTAACAGTGGATGAGCAACTGGTTCCATTTAGAGGTAATCTGTTTTCATATTTGTAATAAAAGTGATTTTCACTATTGATTTCTTTGACTGTTTTCTGTGACACTGATACTAATCACTGATGCTAATGTCTTTTGTCCAAAGGTTGTTGTCCTTTCCAGCAGTATATGCCCAGCAAGCCAGCAAAATATGGGATCAAGTCATGGGTGGCTTCCGAATCAAGCTATGCTTGGAAAATGAAAGTCTATACTGGGAAGTCAACCAGTGGATGCCCAGAGAAGAACCAGGGGTTGCGAGTTGTGCTTGATGTGACAGAGGGACTGAGGGGTCACAATGTGACATGTGACAATTTCTTCAACTCTTATGAACTCGGACAGCAGCTCCTGAAGAGGAAGATCACCATGGTTGGTACAGTTCGAAAGAACAAGCCTGAGCTCCCACCTGCACTGCTTGGGTCAAAGGAGAGAGAGGTCTTCTCCTCAAAGTTTGCCTTCACACCCACCACCACTCTAGTTTCCTACCTCCCAAAGAAAAACAAGAATGTAGTTCTTCTGAGCACACTGCACAAAGATGGCGACACTAGTGACCGTGAGGACAGGAAGCCAATCATTATCCTGGAATTCAACCGAAACAAAGGAGGTGTGGACAACCTAGATAAGGTGATTGGAGCATATAGCTGCAGAAGAATGACTGCCCGCTGGCCCCTGGTCATCTTCCACAACATCATTGATGTGTCCTCCTACAATGCCTTTGTGATTTGGATAGAGATCAACCCAACCTGGATGTCTCATAAGCACAACAAGAGGAGGGTGTTCCTGGAGCAGCTAGGAAAGGCACTTGTAACTCCACTCATTGAAAGAAGGAAGCATGTCCCCCGCACAGAAGCCTCAGCAGCAGTTGTGAAAGCTATTCAGAGTGCAGCAGCTCCTGATCAACCTGAGGATCCATCTACCACAGCCACTTCCCCAGCTAAGCAAAGTAAGAGGAAGAGATGTCAGTTCTGCCCTCAGACTGTAAAACACATACTGTGTGCTGCAGGTGTAAGAAATATATCTGCAAAGACTGTGCACTTGCATACTGCCCTACATGTGCCAATTAGTTGAATGGGTTATGTTATTTTTCATATTTTTGTATTGTACATCCTCTTGTTCACTGGAGAAAAGTAAAAGAAAATTAGTCACTGTGATGAATAAAAATGCATTCGAAACTCATTTTGCACATTTTTTTTCTTAAGCTATAGAAATTCAAGTGGAGAGGGAAAACTCAAGTATTCACACATTTTGTGGTGAGTGACAATATACAAGATAGAATTTGGTGTTTAAAATTCAATTAAGCTGCTTATATTGGGGGTTTAGTGAAGACGGGTCATTCTGACCCGGAGGATAAAGGGTGTATACAGAAAATGAGGACAACAGGACAACAACGTGTCTGTGTTGAATTCTCAACTTCCAAAATAGCATCAGTTCATTGTGTAAGTCTTAACATGCATAAGTCTTAAAGTTGTCATAATGTGAATCATATATTAATTAATTTATATTCTATTATTTTCTAAATCTGTCCTGAATTGGTAAATTGCTCCCAAGTGAGTCCTGAGTTTCTCTAACAGGTCAGTGTATGAACCATTAGCTCAACCAACGGTCAACCAGTTTTCTGAAACAGATTGGAGGTGCATCTTGTGAACCATCAGTTGGCAACATTATGCTCTATATAGTCAGAACACAACACAATGTTACATGTCTGAGAACTGATGAACAAGTATCTGGACAGAGTGAACAGCCAGAGAGAAGAAGAGGAGTGAGGCTGAGGAGGAAATAGTTGGGAGGAAAGCAGAAGAAGAGTCAGAAGAGGCTGAGGACATCTGCCAGTTTCCATCAGTCCAACATCAGGACATGGCTGAGACCCACAACATGACGCTGATGGAGGTCCTACCACCCTACTGTTCATTCCTTAACCCCACTGAGGAAAAAAGATCCTCAGTGGAGTTAAGGAACAAAGTGACTATGGAAATTAAAATGTAATGTAATTTCTACAGCACTGTACAGTTTTCCTTGAGGAGATTGTCCTGTGGCTCCTTTTCTACTTTTTTTGTTCTCTGCATTTCTGTCTTTTTCTTTCTGAATCACCAAGGCATGGTCCATGAATAAATTATAGCAAAAGCGTAAATCAGTGTTTCTCAATCCTGGTCTTCAGCGTCACCCTGTCCTGCAGGCTTAGGTATTTCCCTTCTGCCACACACCTGAATTGTATCTCTGGATGATTAACAAGCTTCTGCAGTACTTGATTGTCATCCAATCATTTGAATCAGCTGTTCTGGAGTAGAGGCACATCTAAAACATGCAGAGCAGGGGGTGGTGAGGAGCAGGGTTGAGAAACACTGGCGTAAATGATCCTTTTGTAGTCTCTTCTCATGACTAATCAATTTGACTGTCTTATCTGTACATAGAGAGACTATAACTTATTATTTTGAGTCACTGATATGTTAACAGACAGAATTTTAAGAGCTGAACTAAGGATTTTGAAAGCAAACAAATGCTATTTTTCCTGTTTCTACAAATTGTTTTGAGAAATGCGCTTACTGTTTTGTAAATGCCAACAATGACTTGAGAAATGCACCAAAAGTGACTGAGAAAAACTAACCTAGCATAAATTGTCTCCGCTGTATCAATTTGTTTGCCTGTATGAAAAGTGTTCACATTTACAGCTTTGTTTCTGCTAGCTTGCAGGAAATGTAACTTACATAAATGGTTGAAGACAACCTATTGGCCTTCATGAGACTCAGATAAATGGTGAGTATCTATTTCATAAATTGCCTAAAACAGTTATATTTGTTTTTATTTGTTTTTTGTTTGTGTATTTTGTCTGGTTGCAGACCAGAGGATCACACCTGTTGACAACAAACAAAGGTTTAACTACTGAATTTTCAGTCAGAAATGATCGCACCACCTGGTTGAAGTACCTGTGTCCATATGCAAGTCAACAAAGGTGAAACAAACATTTAAGCGAATAAGATGTTCATGTAGTGCATCTTTCTAACTTTTTCTTTTTGTTTTCCAGCAGAGAGGAAACACCCGATTGACAACATGCGAGTCTCAATTTCAACCTGTGACTGGGAAGACTACAACCATCCTGAGCAACGTCTGATCTCAGCGACTTGTGACTCTCAACCCAGAACAAGAATCCTTTTATCACCATTTTGTCTTCTACAATATGTTATCTCTTATGTGGACACATACTGTTTGTTTTGTTTCTGTTTTCCAGATCTCAGTAATACCGTGAGGAAACTGGACAGAAAATAGAATCAGTTCTTTTTTTAACTTGACTTTTTAAATAGAAATTGTTTCTTTAAGTGGATTACTCGTAATCTGTATTTTTGTATAATTAGAAATTATTTTCTTTATAACTTTCTGTATAGAAATGCTTGACAAGTTACACTTCCTTGTGTGTTGTACTATAATTTGTATGGTAAAATTCTGGTAGGAACAGAGACCAGTAATTTACCATAAGTTTTTTTTGGGGGGGAGGGTTTACAATAAAATGTCAATATATCATCCAGTCTGGATGTGTTTTTCACTCATGGAGATATTATGCCTCAGTCAGCATGACCGTATTTACTACGGCAAAACCACATTTTATTTTTTTTAAATATTTTAGGAAGTACGGTATTTTACCGTATTTTAAAAATACGGTAGAATCCTGCATTTACAAAATACGGTAATAAACTGGCAGCTGTGGTTGCCAGAATTTTACCGTATATTAAAAATACGGTAAAATCCTGCATTTAGCAAATACGGTAAAAAACTGGCAGCTGTGGTTGCCAGAATTTTACCGTATATTAAAAATACGGTAAAATCCTGCATTTAGCAAATACGGTAAAAAACTGGCAGCTGTGGTTGCCAGAATTTTACCGTATTTTAAAAATACGGTAAAATCCTGCATTTAGCAAATACGGTAAAAAACTGGCAGCTGTGGTTGCCAGAATTTTACCGTATTTTAAAAATACGGTAAAATCCTGCATTTAGCAAATACGGTAAAAAACTGGCAGCTGTGGTTGCCAGAATTTTACCGTATATTAAAAATACGGTAAAATCCTGCATTTAGCAAATACGGTAAAAAACTGGCAGCTGTGGTTGCCAGAATTTTACCGTATTTTAAAAATACGGTGAAATCCTGCATTTAGCAAATACGGTAAAAAACTGGCAGCTGTGGTTGCCAGAATTTTACCGTATATTAAAAATACGGTAAAATCCTGCATTTAGCAAATACGGTAAAAAACTGGCAGCTGTGGTTGCCAGAATTTTACCGTATTTTAGAAATACGGTAAAATTCTGGCAACCAAAGCTGCCAGTTTTTTACCGTATTTCTAAAATATGGTAAAATTCTGGCAACCAAAGCTGCCAGTTTTTTTACCGTATTTTAGAAATACGGTAAAAAACTGGCAGTTTTGGTTGCCAGAATTTTACCGTATAAAGACGGTAAACTTCTGGCAACTCAGCTGACAGTTTTTTACCGTAAAATGAGGCCGTTTTTTTTTTACAGTGTATTATATGGTGGTCTGGTGGTTAGAGAGCAAAGCATTAGCCTCTTAAAGTGGCTGCACAGGTCACCAGTGTGAAACGCAGACTGTTGCTGATCCCTGAAACCATGGTAAGAACTGCAGACAAAAAAAAAAAAAAATTCCTACTTGAGTGAGAAAAAGGGCTAACCAGAACAGTAAGTTAGAGCTTTAAGATTTTTAGCTTGTGCAACCTTCACTTCTTGGTTCAGTTAACTGCTTATAAGCTTTCTTTCTTTTTTGCCCTCATTAACTTGTCCTGTAGACCAGATCCCAGTTTATTCAGAAAGGTCATCTTTAACATACTAATTGGATAATTATTATGAAGTTAAGTATAGCTTTTAAAAACAAATAACCATTGAGGAGGTATATTGATTAGATGGTCATTAATACACACAATCCTTGAACATTTATCATTTTCTTTACAATTCAGAAAGATGTATTACTTTGTGTTGGTATTAAGTAAAATTCCAGTGGAACACATTGAGGTTTGACAAAATATGAAAAGGCTAAATAATTTTGCCATGCATAGTTAAGACAATTTAGAAAAGCTGTTTCCCTATGTGCTCAAATACTAAAAAAACAACAACTTCTTATTAAAGAGGCAATAACTGTGTTCATGAATTTACTTGGTGATCAGGGATAAATAACTACTGTGATGACCTCTTTTGTGATTGCTGTTTTTCAAACACTAACTCACCGGGATGAAATAAAATGACCGAGGTAAAAAAAAATCTCTAACAATAAAACTCCTTTGTAATTCCTGAAAGCCTGTGCTTCCCCCAGGACTAGAGCTCTTTTAACGATTAGGGTTGCTGAACTCTTGCACAGTGGCCTCTTTGAATTAAGCCCCCCTTTTCTTTGTGGTAGGCCACTCACCAGGCTGATCTTGCAGGCTAATTGGCCTCAGGGTTTGTGAGCAGTGTTCACCAATGGTCCTCTGAGATCAAGATAAACCGGTAGAGGAAAAGGGGTGCTGTGCATCCCCGACTGTCAGTGGCCACTCAGGGCATGGACTGTTAGTCCTTATAACTAACCCCTGCTGTGCATGGTCAGGACCCAGTCTTAAGCCATAAGATAAACAAGATATTATTTTGGAGAGACTATGAAATACACTAACAAGAGAGGCATGAAAAAAGCAGATATTTTGAACCACTTATTGTACGCTGCAGAAGTTGGAAATTACAACTTTTTTGAAGGTTATAGGCTGTAAAAATTGCCAAACTTCCTGAGACTCTTTCTCGTCATTTATTCTCTTTTTTTCTCCTCTTAATGGTTTTATGTTTTAGTTCCACCTCTAATTTTACAACATCATATATAAAGGTATAGTTTGAGCCTGTATGTGATTCTGACAGCATAATATCATCCATCCATTGCCAAAATCACCAAATACATTTCAAAGTTTTTTTGTTGTTTTTTTTTCAAGGATGCCAGAGAGGTTTTCTTACACTAATGGGTAAGAAGGGGGCTATAATTTAGCCTGGGTGCCATTCCGAACTTAGTCCCGCCCACAAAGTTTGAGGTCGGGGAAGTTCGGTCTGGCTCTGCTCCATAGTAGCGTGAGTATTATCACCCACTGTCAGGCGATCCAATCAAATTGTCAGGGCGGGCTTTATACGATGATGGACAGATGACCAACAGTCACGTAATCAACCACGTGACCAATGTGCGCTTGGGTGACAACAATAATGGCTGCCGCTGGAGAGTTTAGGTGAGTAGATTCTGCTATTAGGTCTGTTGTAGAAGATATCGACAGCAAATTAATTTTAAAAGAGGAACAGAGAAACGCGATCAAGTCTCATCTTCTTATTATAGGCGTGCAATTGCACGCTTTGATTTTTGTTCACAACAACTATGCGTCGCTTAACATACATCACGCACTCCGTTGCTCTTATTGGTTGTAGGTCTATCCAATTGAGTACAGAGGCATTTTTTTTCCTGGTTCGTTCGAAACACGCCCCATAATCACAGCTCTATGGAGCAGTATCAGACTCATATTCTGACTAGAATTGAGTCGGACTACGTCAGACTAGCTATAATTACCATGGATGGTCAAACAGACCAACCCAGTCAGTGGTCTCATAAATATGTGGTCTGAGTGATTTGTGTTACATATCAATTAATTCTTTTAAATAATAGATTTTTTTTGTGTGTGACTTAATCTAATTGAATTAAAAAAAAAGTTATAATTAAGTGGTAAATTTGCCTTTCAACATTTTAGCTGACTGACCTCTGTTTGCCAAAGTACTAAAATAAGGTAATGTGAGTGCCTGACAAGTTCGTATGATCTTTATTCCTTCCATAAAAAATAATAGATAATTTGAACTTTTTTATCATAAAGTCAGTCAATAAATCAATAAAGTCAATCAATCATCCTGTACACCCCATCTCTATCTGGAATATTACAGGGTGTTTTCTAGTCATACTTAATTATGACAAAAGCTTTTCTTCTACCCTTTTAGTTTTCTCTTACTCTGTAATATTCAACTCTACACAGGATTGAAGACCAACTGTAATGCATGGGGTTCAGCATCTTGCCCAAGGACCCTTCAAACTTTAGGGTCAGATGATGGAATAAAAACTCACAACCTTCCAACTGCAAGAGGACTACATTTTACGTTGAGCTAGAGCAGCCTTTTGTTTAGTGGCATGACACAGGGTGATTGTGAGACAGATGGGTCTAAATAAAATGCAATTCTACACTATAATTCAGTTCTATAGGGTGTCAGGCCTGGGTTTGAATCCTAGTCTGTAAAAAAAATACTGCATTTCTTCCCCATCTGGTACCAATTGCCACTAATGTAAACAAGTCAGCCCATAAGAAACGTTTAGGCAGTTGAACATTAGACAAAAATCTTGCTCTCCAAGGACAAACCGGCTGTGTGGATCTGAGAGTATTGTTCTTTGATTAAATATCTTCGAGGTGAAGGAAAAATTAAAAGGTGTACACTCTTCCCTTGAGAAAGAACACATTCAATTATGGTTTCACACAAAACACATTTTTGTCTCTGTTGAAAAAGACATCTTTTTCTGAAACCAGGTCTTTTTGAAATTTTTTCTCACCTTAGATTGTTAATATCAACAACACGAAGCATTACAAATGGCCAAGAAAACTCCACCAGCTATTCAAATTATCTTAACCTAAGCAAGAAGAGGGTTGTGCATTAACAAACCTTTCCACCCACCTTGTATTATGAGGATGTTTGACATAAAAGGACAATGAATGTCCATAAAATACTCCTACGGTAGATATTTAAACATTCACAAGACATAAGTAAAGATCCCTTTGTGGCAATTACAGGATGAAGACCAGATTGCATAAAATCAAAAATATAAGGCTATAGTAGTCTCTTGACCATTTTTACTACAGTACATGCCATGCTATTGATTAGCTGCACCCTTGTAAAATCTTAGCTTTAATATATAGGGAGAGTGGAATACGTATAACAGTAATAAGGGCAGGTATTGTATGTTAGTGAATGCAGAAGCAGCTAAATTAACTGGCCTCACAACGTTCTGTTTCTATTTTGTTTTTTGACACAGGCCTTTTGTCCAATATATATTCGAATTATTATATGAAATAATTATTTCCCCCACTGTTGATCCATTAATGCACGTTTTCTTGACAGCTTAGTTCAATTACACAATTACAACAAAGGCTTGTTCATTGCCATAACCAATTAATCAAGAAATCACTGCAAGCTGTCAAATAACCCAAAGTAGAATCTCAAAAAGCAACACAACATGCCCCACTCTAAAGAAAGTTCCCCAACAGAGGTTATACCCATCTGTCAGTCTGAAAAGGGTTAAAAAG